TATATGTATATATATATATATCTATATATATATACTATAAATATGCAAATAGAATAAATAATTTTCCATGCCTGTTTTTTGTTTTTACATGACCCCCGCCAAAAAAACAAAACAGCCAGTACACACAATGCAATAGTGTGTATCCAGCAGGAAATCTTCTCCACATAAAGGATTGGAAGATTACCAGCTATAATGAACTGGTTTGTAAATTGTAATTTTCATGGTACAGGGACTGTTGTGAGCTGCAAATTAAGAAAAAGCTCTATTCATTAGAACATTAGAAAGTGTTAGAGAGTTCTTCACAAATTGCTGATCCTTTGTGAGTGTAGCTATATTGTTGCACAGCAGGGTTCTCCCTCCATGTGCACATGATGTTGTTAGCAAGTCTCACTATGAAACTTCATTGATGCTAACAGCACTTATATTTAGAACTAATTATGCCCACGTGCATTGCAGTCTATACATTCTGTCCATCCATTAATAACATATTTTTTTAAGATATAAGAAAATAGGCCTGCTTGTGATTTTTTTTGCACCTCCTAATCAATTGGAAAAAAAATATCAGTTGGTCATGTAGCAAAAAATCTAATTTTCATGACTTGAGTGTATAAAACATGTTTCCAAATGTAATCTTTTACTTTTTTGATTAAATCTATAATTTTTTTTTTTATTAGAATTTGTGTATTTATTTGTGGTCCTCCTTAATTTTTTTAACCATAGTTTTTTTATTGTTTTAAAACGTCAAGGGGTACATCACAGTACAATACAATACAATACAAGGTGCATGAGTAATAAAACACTGTCGTATGGGAATCAGTGAAGGTGTACTTTAGCAATAATATTGCAGGTGTTGCATCTGTATTCTCTGTAAATACTCAAGTGAAGAGAAGCGAGCTTAGTCATCAAGTGGAAAAGGGGAGGAATTACATCAAAGTTAGCTTCAAAACAGATTGCGCAAGTGCATAAACGTTGAGTACGACACACTGGTTACGAGATCTAGCACTTGGCGTATCAGCCATTCAAATGATCTAGCTTGGTGTCTGTAAGTATCACCAGATATAGGGATGGGATGGCATGTATATACATCCGATACTAAGTAAAACCCATCATAGTGCCCCTAGAGGAGGGCCTCAGAAATAGACCACCAAAGGCATGGGGCCTGTGCTGACGGTGGTCAGTGGTCAAAACGAGGATTTTGTGGCACCACACAAGACAGACAACACGACACAGTATGGGGGAGACACACAGAGAAAGAGGGGGCATAAGGGGGAGTATGGGAAGTCGGATTTCAGAGTGTGATGAGATAGTTGCATAGTCAAGCCATGTACCAATGTAGATGGTGTTGTCTCCATGGGTGAGGATGATGGACAGCTATTACAGCGTATAAAGGCGGCGGGGGATGTTTGCTGCAGCAGAATTCTCTTTCCACAGGGACCAAATGGTTTCAAATTTTGCCATTCTGTCACTAAGTTGTGCGGTCCTTTTTTCATGCGCCATAATCCAGTTGACGTGGTTTATGACGCTGCTGCCGCTCAATGATGTGGTCAGCCAATTTTTTGCTATTTCCCTCTTAGCCGAGGTGCATATGTGCATGGCCAGGTTGAATTGTTTGCGAGAAAGGCTTTCCGGTCTACAATTAAGGAGAGCAAAGTAGGGATCCTTAGTTAATGTTTCCGAGAACAGGGAAGAGATCAGTAGGAAGATTTCGTCCCAAAAATCAGAGACACGTGGGCAGC